GGAGGTGGGTGATGTCCCCCTGCAGCCATGCCAGGGATCATGTCCTCCCTGGGGTAAAACGTGGCATGATGGTAAAACATGGGTGATGGCTCACAGCGGGAAGGAGAAGCCAGGGAATGCTCTGTGCCCATCAGCATCGTTTTGGGACACAGCAGGACACCCCGGCTGCACGAACTGCCCTGCACCCGGGAAGCAGAGCCAGGGGGTGGATTGCGAGGGCCCTGCTCACGCTCTCCCCGTGGGCAGCCTGAAGCCAGCCCGGCTGTGCCAGAGGCAGAGCAGCCCCGGGGCCGGGATCCCCAGCCAGGCTGGGTGAGAGCACAGACGCGTCTGAGGCTGCAGGACGTTCGCAATCCTCCTGGAATCTGTCAACACGCGCCCGGAGCCAACGCATCGCTCCGGGGGAACTTGGGGCTGCGGGGGAAGCTCAGCTCCGGGACCGCTCCCCAGGCACCCTGATTATTAACCCTTATTAGCTCGCAATTAATTCTCCCGCTCCGGGACCAGCCGGGGAAACGGGACCACGCGCTTCGGGGATTTCCTACGGCACGGCGGGCTCTGGGAGCCTTTCCTACAGAAAACTGGCGCGACACCTCAACTCCTGCTTTGGGATGGTCCCAACCCCACCAACACCCATGCAGGGAGGCAGATGAGCCCGTGCCCGCCAGCGGGTTCACATCCCAAACCGACAGGCGCGGGATGGGCGGATATTTCGCCCTCAGGGCCCTTTACCTGTGTGGTCCCCGTGGTGGTGGGGGTCGGCCATGCCCCCCAGCCCGCTGTCCCCCTTGTAGATCTGTGTCCCGCCGTGGTGGCTGAGCTCGGCCCCGGAGTCGGAGTCGCTCTGCCCGGCTTTCACGCTTTTCCTCCTCCGGGGCTGGTATTTATAATCCGGGTGATCCTTTTTGTGCTGCACCCTGAGCCGCTCGGCTTCTTCCACAAAGGGACGCTTCTCGTTTTCACTCAATAAACTGGTTTGGTGTGGATTTTTTTTTTTTTAAATAAGGAGAGAGGGGGGGAAAAAATCCCAAATTAGTATCTTTTCCGTAAGAGTTTTCAGCTTGTTTTCAGATTCGCACATCCCCATTTCCCATACACTGATTTGAGGAATCAGCAAGTTAATTACAAAATGAATTTGCTGTGGCAGAAAAAGAGGTAAAACCCAGAGCGAAAAAATAGATTAAAATACCAACTATAGAGGCATGAAAACCCTTGCCACTATAGATAGTGTTAACTGGGCAAAACAAAATCCCCCTTCCCCATTTTCAACGCCTTTCCCAACTATAATTCCCATGTTTGTCCTACAAATGCCACCCCCCTCACCGCGACAAACATCTCCAGCTTTGTTTGGTGCTTACAAAGAAACCCCGAAGGCACCAGCGATGAGATTATTGCTTTCCAAGTTCTCCCCCCTGCCCAGATCTCTCTTTGCAAACTCTTGGAGAGGCTCAAACAGCAGCGGGAGCATCGCAGGAAAGATGGGAATTAGGGACGGACACGATGGGATACAGCATGCGGGAAAACGTGGCTCGGGGCAGAGCCTTGGAAGGCAGAGCTGGGATGTAACCCAGCAAATAAAAGTTTGCATCGGTGGGAAGCACTGAGCAGATAAGAAAGGAAATCAGGAAGCTCATTAAAATAACTGCTAAAAATTGGTTATTTGCGTTTATAGCTCGTTAAGCACCAAGCAAGCCAAGAGGAAAAAAAAAATTAGAAAAAGCCATAAAATAAGTAATTAAAATTAAAAAAAAGGCTCATCGCCTGGGGATTGGGGAAATCCCAGCCAGGCAAAGGAAGGGTCCCAGCTCTGGGTCTCCGTGATGGAGCAGGGAAAATCCACGTGTGGCACAGCGCTGGGGCGGGACCGAGCTGCTGCTCGGGGGGCATTTTTCGGAGCAAGGACCGGCGCGTCCTTCGCAGTGTGCGGGGATGCTCGGGGGGTAGAGGTAGGGTTATAATTCAGTTGGAAGCGCTTCCCGTGGGCAAGAAAAAACGAAGGTTAATAAAAACACCGTAGGAAAAAAAAAAGGATTAATAAAACCACCGCAGGAGAAGGGTTTAAAAGAAGCGGCGGGAGGGGGGATCCAGGCACGCAGGAGGCAGAGCCGTCCGGGGGGGATGCGGGCTCGGGACTCACCGCCAGAGCTTGCCCAGGGTCTTGCTGAGCTCGGCGTTGTGCAGATGCGGGTACTGGTCCGCCAGCTTCCTGCGGGCGGCCTGCGCCCACACCATGAAGGCGTTCATGGGTC